AAGTCTTTATGAGGAGTATTAAATTTCTTGACCGTGCTCTCAAGTTTAGCGACTTGCTCTTTTAAAGCTTTGCAAGACCCACATTCACTTGATGAGCTTTCTGGTTTGTCAGCGCTTCTTTTTCCAAAAAATTTGTTTTCTTGTTTAAGTGTTTCATTTTCTTTTTCCAATTTTTCAAAATCGTTTTCAAGTAAAGAAAGTCGTTTCTTCAAAGATTTATTTGTTTTAGAAGCGCTAACAAATTCCTCATAGAGTTCATGAAGTGCTTCTTGCATTTCTTCAAAAGTATAAGAGTCGGAAGAAATGTTACATACCTCTTGGACGTCGTCGCTTTGATCTTCGTGTGCCATGAGGCAGAGATTTGCAGCTTCGTCCTCCTCTTGGTCGGTTGATTCGTCGCCGGAATCGCCACCCCAAGAGATGTAGGCCCTTTGCTTCTTGAAGCCAGGCTTGTCCTTGCCGTGTTTGGCCTTTGGACACCTTGGCTTGATGTGGCCAATCTCGCCACAGCCGTAGCATTTGGGAGGACCGTCGTGCTTCCTTCCCTTTCGCTCAAATTCCTTCTTCATGAACTTGTGGAACTTTTTGATGACGAGCCCGAATTCATTGTCGTCATCGCTTGAAGCCTCTTCCACCGGTTCCTTGGTGGCTTTGAGAGCTATCCCCTTTTTCTTTTGTTCATCCAAAGACGGGGTTAGAATAGTAGATTCATAGGTTTTAAGATTACCTCTTAGCCCGTCGATGGTGACGTTGGAGACTCCGATGGATTCGTAGATTGCATTGGCTTTTGACCTCCATTCGGGTGTGAGACTCCGCAGGATTTTCCTCACAAGATCCTTGTTGGTGTAGGTCTTTTTGAGAGCATGAAGATCGTTGATGATCTTTGAGAACCGGTCGAACATGTCATCAATTTTCTCACCTTCTTTCATCCGGAACATTTCGTAGTCTTGGGTGAGAAAGTCGATCTTGGCTTTGCGAACTTGATCGGTACCTTCGTACGTCACTTCAAGCTTGTCCCACATCTCCTTGGCGGTGGTGCAACAGGAGATCTTTCGGTAGTCATCGGGGTTTACCGCGCAATATAGCATATTGATGGCCTTTGCATAGTTTTCGATCTTCTTGATGTCCTCGGCATCAAATTCGTTTTCGGTCTTTGGGACCGTGGTTTCTCCCACTTTCTTCATAGGGATTTCTTCGCCATTTTTGATCACCAACCACAATTGGAAGTTTGTGGAACGAATATAGATTCTCATCCGTTCCTTCCAATAAGAGTAGTTGGTGCCATCAAAGAGTGGTGGCCTAGAGGTTGATTGACCTTCTCCAATTCCTGCATAGATATTTCTAGAAGAAGAGCCCATGATCGCTTTACTCTCAAACGGTTAAGTTTGGACGTGAGTTAGGCTCCAATACCAATTGTTAGAATAATAGACCAACGCTAGAGGGGGGGTGAATAGCGTTTGATCAAGAAATCGCAGGAATAAAAATGAATAAGCGAGAAGTAAAGAGAAAAGAACGAGGCACACCGATTTTACCCTGGTTCACCACAACTTGTGGCTAGTCCAGCCTCCCGAGAGACTCTCTCGAGCTACACTACTATCTCGTTAA